CATTAGCACTTTTATCCCATTACATGCACATGTTAAACACGCAGATGAGTGTACACAAAGGATAAAAGTCTTTAGAAGAAGCACAATGGAACTCAAGAGTATCTGCTGCCCCTCTTTCTCTTGCCAGTGAAGGACACTCAACTCTAGAGATGCATCCACATAGAATTTTGAGACCACAGATAAAACTTATCTGAGGTATTCATGATTGACAAGGTCAAGAAGGTGGTCTGCTGCTTGGCGATCAGATCAGTTCCCATGACACCTCGCCCTTTGCCCTTCCCACGATTTTATTTAACCTCTTCCCTCTAGCACTCACCCCAAACTGTCTAAATTCATTTCTAGTATTTAATAATGGATACTCCCCTTTTAACCTACTAAATCCACTCTCTGCTCTAAGTCATTGTTAAAATATGGAGACAAGGAACCCAAACATGGGAAATACTGTACAACGTACAACATGGTCAGGAGTATAAACTTTGGCTGAGCAGATGTTCCTCATATACGCGCTTAATAGCTGTTATATCTGTTCGGCTTCAAAAAATAGTTCATTTTCCTCATAAATATCTTATTGAACACCTATATGAAAGCAACTGATTAAAACTGTTAGCGTTCATGAAATTACATACTAGAACATACTCTAATTCTGTATCTCAACCACAAATCAATTTTATTTTATTCTAAGATATCTCTTCCTTCATTGTTAATAACATGATGCTCTTCTAAAACAAGTATCTGTTCTTGTAGGATAAATATTTACCTTGATAACAGTTCCTGATAGTATTATGTGAGCACAGAGGGGACTTTGGGGATCAAATCCATATTTCCTGCAGAAACTAGTCTCTGCCAAAGACATGGTCAGCGTAGCATATGGATTCTCCTGTAGAGAGAAAATGGAGACCTCTCACGTGAAATACTGTCTCTGGAGAGGTAATCAATTTCACAAGTTGCATACCGTCAGCAGAGCTTGACTGTTCTTCCATGAAACAATGAATTGGAAAATACCACCTTCCACTTGGGGAAATTACTACTTAGATAGAGACTGATCTTTACCCCCTCTCCAAAAAATGTGTGTTGGATGTTGTTTCATATTTAAAATTAATTGACTTGGTAAGGATGATTTTAATGCTTTTTTTCTCTTAAACTCTTAATTTGTCCCATATTCACCAGAGGAATTATAATTACAGTACCACCCAAATACAAGGCTGATCTCTAGTCTTCACTGAAAGAACTAAAGGATTAGACTAATGTGAAACTAGTGCATAAAAATACCACAGTGGCTCAACTAGCTAATTGTACAATTTAAGCAAGAAAGTAGCTGAATCATCCTTCTTGGTTATCTTGTGCTAGCAGAAACTGTCATGTGATTTCAAAATTGGAGAAGCTGCTCATTCCTGTTCTAGCAATAAGAGAATTCTTAGATTAAAAATGTGATGCAAGCAAAATTTCTAACTCTTTCTTATTCAGAAATCAGCTTCATAAAAGGCACTGTTGACAGATTACAATAAAATTCACATGCTGTATTCAGTGTTTTAAACCCCAAGTGTCTTGTGTGGGGAATTGTGCCATCGCACAGTGACCCATCAAAACAGTGAGTCATAAAGAGATCTCTTTGGAATCATTAGGCCAAGTATTCGCTGTCGACAAACTATTAGGTAAGGCACTATAGGAGACCAAAAATAGGGGAGGGGGAGACTCAGATAAGGTCTTTCCCTTCTCTGTAAGTTTATAATCTGGTTGAAAAGTCAGACATAAATAAAATTTTTAAAATGCAGCACAAATACACAGAAGAGGTCAAAAAGCAGCACATAACTAATTGCCAAGTGAATGGTACAGTTAAGTGTATTTGAAGTTCAGAGTAAGAAGATGTCAGCACAGCCTGGAGTGATATGGAAACACTAGAAAGCCTTATAAGATAGTCAAATCAGCACAAAAGTGGGAAGATGTATTAAAGGTAAAGGGAATGGTAACTGCAAAAACACAGAACTGGGAAAGTGTAAGACACAACTGGGAGTAGTGAAAACCCAATTTGCTTGAAAGAAAGGTTTCCTGAGGGAAGGGGGTTGGGGACAAGGTGGGGGGAGGTTAGGGGCTGGGGGTAGTAAGGGTGGTTCACCTCCAAGCTAAGGAGCCAAGATTGTATTTTATAGGCTGGCATCTGTCAGGGCTTTCCAAGAACCACTTACCTGGAGAGCTTGTTAAAATGCTGATTTCTGGGCTCCATTCCCAGCCCAGGTATCTGCATTTTTAACAAACACCCAGGTGAATCCTATGCAGCTCTAGGCAGCCAGATGTTGTTAAAGGGTTCTGGGCAGACGGCAATGCTGAGTGGTACTTTGTTCATGTAAATCTGGTGGGTAGGGTACACAAGAGCAGACAGGAAGAAGACAGAGGTCAGAAGGAGGGGAAAAGTAGAAAGCAGAAACCAGCTTTGACTGGTTAATTGATGGCATCAGAGTCAGACTAATTCTGATGTGGCCATGCCTTTTCACTGCAATCACGAACCTGAAATCCTGGGCAAGTGCCTCACCACTGTCTTTTTCTAGAGATGTCAAAGACCTGAGCTCAAGTTCCACCTGACAGCCATTAGCTGACTAGTCACAAGTGAGTCTCCGCACCTCTGAGTTTGAGTTTCCACATTTCCTAAAATGAGGAAGATAGTATCAGCAAAAGTTTAAATATATTCATGTATAGCAGTGGTTCTCACTGCCCTCCCCCAACATTAGAAGCATCAGGGAGGGATTTGGGGTGTTTTGTGTTTTTTTTATAAAATGTGTTTTTAGTAAAATGTCTTGGAATTGCCTCTTTAAAAGTCTTCCCAGGTGACTGTATTTGCAGCCAAGTTTGAACAGCACTGGTGGGAGTGGAATGAGCTTGCTCTGAGCAAATGTCTAAGGGAGTGGAGCGGAGTGGGCTGGGAATAAGCAAATGGTGAATGGGGCTGTATGTGTCTTGGCTAAGGAGGCAGCTGCTTCTGGTTCTGCTCAAAGAATGCAGGCCCCCAGTGCCACAGAGCTTCCAATATTTCAAGAAGTTAGAAATTTAGACGTTTAGTTGCAATCTCCATTTTTGAATGTTGATAATTAATTCAGATTTATTAAAAACAAAACAGAACTCTGCGTGGGCCAAAGAAAACCAGTCTGTGGGCCTGATCAGCTCATGGGCCACCACTCTGTGACCTGTGTTAGGGAAGCTCATGTGCACACGAGGCCTAAAGACTGCAATAATCATTCACGAGGTTGTCTGTTCGCTTCATGCTGCTGAAGGGAAAATCCTTAGCTCAAAAGAAGCGGTGTCAAAGAGAAATCCCGAAGCCACTTATACAAAGTGCTAAACTACCCAACAGCCTCTACACCCGGTAAAACTTTTAATATTAGAGCCCAGTTAATGAGACACCGTGCCCCAAGACGACTCAGGGCTGAGAAGTCCTCCAGGTGCTGGTAAAGAATTCGCCCCAAGTGAGTGGCGCGGTGGCGAGGGCGTGTGTGAAATTCCTGGTATTTAGTTGCCCAACAACTGGAAAGCTGCAATGTCAGCCCGGCCAGCGCGGGAGAGAAGAGGCAGGGGTTTGGGCTGGATTCAAATTCTTAACTCTACGAGGCTGGCTCTCCTTCGCAAGCAGAATTCAAGCTATAGTCAAAAGGCTCGCGCTCCGGCCCGCGGAGCCACACGGCCCCGCCCGCTCACCTTCAGGTTGCCCACCGACTGCTGCATCGGGCTCAGGTAGAAGTAGGGCACGCCGCTGCCCTTGGCCGGGGGCCCGTCGCTGAGCGATAAGACGTCGGCGAAGGGGCGGCCGCGCACCCCCTCCTGAGTGGAGATGGTGGCCAGCGCGCCCCAGTCGCAGACGTTCGTCACGAAGCGAGCCACCAGCGCCGCGTTCTCGCGGGGCGGCAGCAGCTCGGCGGCGCCCCAGTCCCCGTGGCCCCGGCCACCCCGGCCCCGCGCCGGCGCCACCAGCAGGGCCACCAGTGCAGGCGCCAGCAGGAAGGCGAGAACTGCACGCGCAGACCCGCAGGCACACCCGGCCATGGCGGTGACCCCTTCGAGAGTCCGGAGCCCTGTGACCTACGAGGCCCAAGCCTAGCCCAGCGTTACGGGCCTCGCCCAGCGCTACCGGCCCCGCCCACCGCGGGCAAGCCAGTCCCGCCCCTCCGAAGAGAACCAATCGAAGTACGGGAGTGGTGGGCGGGGGGGCGTGTCCCTAGGCCTGCTCCTCAGCCTGCTGGGACCCGACTGTTGATTCACCTTCTTATCGTTCCGCCCTGCCGCTGACAGGATTGGGAAATCGTCCTAAATGGGATTTGTTTTGTTTGACGGATGGAAAAACGGAGGCTTAGAGAAATTAAGCAGTTGTTTAAGTCATACTACTAGGAAAGGACCAGTGTCTTCACCCGTACGCCTTCCTTCAATACCTTTGGATATGACTACCTGGCATCTGAGAGGAAATGCTGCGTTTTCCACGTATGCGTTTACTTCAATATCCGCACCGAAGAGCAGGAAGGGTCCCAGTGGGACAGATAGAAGCCCCCAAATTTAACACCTTATAAACTACTCCTGGCCCAGGAGTCTCTCAGACAGAGACACTCGGGGATTATCAGGATTCCATGCACGAATTTGTTTGTTTTTTAACATCTTTATTGGAGTATAATTGCTTTACAATGTCGTATTAGTTTCTGCTGTATAACAAAGTGAATCAGCTATAGGTATACATATATCCCCATATCCCCTCCCTCTTGCGTCTCCCTCCCTCCCACCCTCCCTATCCCACCCCTCTAGGCGGTCACAAAGCACCGAGCTGATCTCCCTGTGCTTTGTGGCTGCTTCCCACTAGCTATTTTACATTTGGTAGTGTGTATATGTCCATGCCACTGTCTCACTTCGTCCCAGCTTACCCTTCCCCCTCCCCGTGTCCTCAAGTCCATTCTCTACGTCTGCGTCTTTATTCCTGTCCTGCCCCTAGGTTCTTCAGAACATTTTTTTTTTTTTTTTTTTTTAGATTCAGCCTATATGCGTTAGCACCAGGCACGAATTTGAACTCATGGAAGCCAGTTATGGGCCTAAGTCATCAGGCGTGGAGGCAGTGGTTTCACAAATGTCTTGCCCTTGCTGACCTCTCACCCCATGTAAGTGGCATTTCCCTTTGTTCCTCCTAAAAAGGTCTCTTCAGTCTCTTCAGGGGTGCTTCCTCTTTCTGATACTCTGGGAATTGGTAAGTAAGCTCATATCACCTAATCTGCCGTCTTTATAATTATAAGCTTCGGTCACATCTCCTCAGGGTGAGTCCGCATCTTTTTGGCCTGGCCTCAAACCCGCATTTTCATCGTTGTTATAAATGCTGCGTGGTGGTGCTGGTGTAGGAGTTTGTCAGCTCTGGCTCTGGGGGACCTGGCTCTCTGAGCTAAGATGTTCAACAAAGGTGAGGTAACTTCCCTCAGCTGCCCTGGGCCATGAGCAGGTGGGGGCCACAGGTGTGTGAGCCGAAGCCCCGCCTCCATTTCCTGCTTCCAACTCCGCCTCCCCATATTCTCAGGAAGATTCTCAGGCTACCCCCATCAGAACTTGGGTACAGAAACAAGAACTTTTACTCTGAGTAGCAGCCTTCAGTTCCCTCTGGTGGCCAAGGGGTGTTACACACACTGCTTGCACATTCAGGTAAGGGGGTGAGCACCTTAGTCAAAGTTGGTTTCCTTTTTAACAACTGAATTTGGGAGAGCTTCGAGCTAGATGGAAAACTAAGTGGGAGAAATCTGAGAGGAGGAAAATCAGGTTTATCATTTTCAAAAAAAATATTTAATACAAAAATATTTAATACAATCATTTGAGTGTCTGCCAATTACAAATATTTCATCCGTAACCTGTTAAGGGAAAAAGCATATGGAGTTTCAAATTTGGAGTTCTAATCTCAGCTCTGCCACTGTCAAGTCATGTGAACGTGGGACTTCCATCTCACCTCTTTGGACCACTGTTTTCGATTCTAAAATGAGTTGGATTAGATGATATCTGATACCTCTTTTGGTTCTCTTCTCTGTTTTTCTGTTAACATGCAAAACAGGGGCCTTTTGTAAGTTTTAGAACATGAATACTTTTTTTGCAAGAGGACTACAAAATCTTTTTTGTTTATTGCTATACCACTATCGCTAGTCTATGAAATAACAGTAAGCTCTATTATAGCCCCATTACAACACAGGTGCCTAGAACTTGGTCTTATGCATCTGAGCATGAGAATAAGGTCTACAAACCTCCAGTTTTAAGCACCTCCCCTCAGTGTCTGTCTTTGCACTGGCTGTTAAGTCTGCACAAAGTGCTCCTCCCTCAGCTGAGGGCATGGCTACCTCATTCACATCCAGATCTCCACTCAGATGTCACTTCTTAAGGGTGCCTCCCTGACCACTCTTTCTAAGAGGTCTTCCTTGGTTATTCTCCATTGGACAGCCCTGTTTATTTCTTTCATAGTGCAGTAGTTCAGAATAAGTTGCCCCAAGATGTACCACTTTGGCATGTGAATTTTTTTTTTTTTTGGAGATTTCTGTTTATTCATGAGGCATTTTCTTCCTAGTAAACAATGTCGGTGCTTCTTTGGTCCCTTCAAGAAGCTCTGGTATGATTGCATCATCCAATCTAAGATTTTTTAAATGCCTTTTAACTGCATAACTATAGAACAACATGAGATAATTCAAAGGAGTTACAATGCCAAGATTCATTCATTTGATTCATTACTATTTAGAGCCTTTGCTGAGAAGATGAAGCTATCATCCTTTTTTGAGAGAAAATTGGCTAAGTTTAAGAGCCCTCTGAATATTCTGTAGGACATCCTGTTTCTGTCCTATTTCTTTACTCTGTTCTCTGCAGTGATGACAGCTGTATTGAAATTCAATGCCCAGGATTTCAAGTGCTATAAGCATGTGGATTATTTGGAGCTGAAAACAACCAAGGCCCAAAGACTTGGGAAGAACCTTTGACCTTCCCCCTAACTGCCTAAAAGTAGTAGAGGACCTGTTCCAGGAAGGGAGCTATCACCATAGATAACTATAGTATAACATGAACTAGTTGTTTTAGACAGGGAAGAGCTGTCAACCACAAAGTAATGCAGGAGGCTGCAAAGAAGGTAAGAGTTTATTTGGGGTCTTAAGAATTGCAATTCAGGAGACACAGATTTGGGTAACCCTGAAAGAGTGTTCTGAGAAAAAGAAAGAGTCAGGGGTTGTTAAAGCCAAAAAAACCCAGAAAGCCACGAGGTTGTTAAAAGTAGCTGGGTGAGAATTGTGATGACTTTGACTGCAGTCAGAAAATATTTGTCCATAAGGAATCACAGGTTGTTTTAGGGTAGGGGTCCAACAAATAGACAGACTGTCACAAGTTATTTTAGGGTAAGGATCCAATTAATATTTTGAGTATTTGGCAGGTGTTGTGGATGTCTGGATGACTTCATCACGTCAAAAGGTCAGATTCCATCCCAGCTGAGATGTGCATAAGTCATACTTCTTTAGTAGCCTCCTGGCTCCATTTTAGCGAGCTCTCTTAGCAATACCTACTCCATTTTTATTTTCCTTTCACAGAACCCAGCAAAGTCTGTTTGTTAAAATTCCTCTCTGCAACCTGTTGTTTCTGTATGGTGCAGAAAACATTTGTTTACCAAACGTTTGCTGTTTTTCATCTTCCTCTGAATTGCTTTCTTTCCCTTTGAAGTCCCAGACTTCTACCCCTTTCTCTTTAGTCTGGAATGACATATAGATCTCATTTAGCCTGACTGTCTTTGGAATCTTTCATGGTATGTGGATTCCCCACAGTCCTTAATTAAATTTGTTTTTCTCCGGTTAATCTGTCTTATGTCATTTTAGTTATTTGACCAGCTAAAAAAACCAAGAGAGGAAGGGGGAAATTTTCCCCTCCCAACAACCAGCGATCATCACACTCTGCAACAACCATATTTATTTAGTTAGGTATTTGTTCATTGTCTCCCTTGCCAGAACGTAAGCTCCAGGAAAGGAGGAATGTCGTCTGTCTTGTCCACTTCCATATCCGCAGTGCAGAGTAGGCACTCAATAAATATTTATCGAATGACTGAGTTAATGAGTAATATCTGACAGAATTCTTTGCACATAGAGCCTTATAAAATCAACATTTAGCCAATGAGGACAACTGAATGGAGACATTCAAGAATAGCAACAGGCACTTCGGCTCTTAGCAAACCCTCCACATTGGAGAATTGGGAAAAGCCCTTAGCCAGGAGTGGCTGGATCAACCATCCAAATCCCACTGCTTCTCATCTGGACTTTCTGTCCATATTTGAACAGCCTGAACTGATCCTCATCTCCCACAGACCCATCGGGAAATGGTCGTCTTCTCCTTACATCTGGGTTCGATCCTGGTGAGGAACGCACCCTTTTACATGGTGTTACCATTGTCTATTTGTCTGGGTCGCTACCAGCCCAAGTTTCATCTAGTTCAGGAGCTGTGGCTACGTTATCTCCATATCCCAGCGCTGAGTGCAATGCCAGACATCCAGCAGGCATCCATTACGTGCTATTGACAAAATGAATTGTATGAGAACAGTTTTACCAACCGTAGAATGTTCTCAGGCTGTCTGCAATAGCTCAGGAACTTTCTGCTTTGCAGTATACAAATAGTAGGTTGCTTAGTGACTTGGTGAAGAGAGCTAGCTTTGGAGTCAGCCACTTAAGCATGACTGTGATAGGATGAGTTCCTCCTCATTAAAAAGAAGAAAATAATACCTCCTACCTCATTGGATTTTGTGGCAGTTAAATGAGATAATAATGTAAAATACCCAACATAGCGCCTGGGACATAGTAAATGCTCAGTAATTTCTAGTTGTTATCTTAGTGATTGTTAGCTTTTGTTCCACTCTTTCTGTTCCTACTTTCTATGCTGCAAATCTGTAGATTGCTTCATTTAATCTCTTTTTGAAATTGAATGTTTTCCACTGTGGCCTCTGTTTAAAAAAACATGCCTTCTGAAAAAATAACTTTACAAAATGTCTGGGAATTCCTCAAGTAGCTACTGAGAAGTTTCATAGCCTACACCTACTTTCAGGGAGAAAATGCCCATGCATATTATTTTTCATTAATCAGATGTCCTTTCCTTCACACTTCTTATCATCCACCCTCACTTTAATCAAATGTTCCCAGACTTTAAAACATAGTAATACAGGGCTTCCCTGGTGGTGCAGTGGTTAAGAATCTGCCTGCCAATGCAGGGGACACGGGTTCGAGCCCTATCCTGGGAAGATCCCACATGCCGCAGAGCAGGTAAGCCCACGAGCCACAACTCCTGAAGCCTGGGCACCTAGAGCCCGTGCTCTGCAACAAGAGAAGCCACCACAATGAGAAGCCCGCACACCACAACAAAGAGTAGCCCCCGCTCACCGTAACTAGAGGAAGCCCGTGCACAGCAACAAAGACCCAATGTAGCCAAAAATAAATAAATAAAATAAATAAATTTTTTTAAAAATACCTTTAAAAAAATAGTAATACAAAGCTACCCTTTTGTTGACTACCTTAAGTTTTGTATTTCACTCTTTCATGCATACTTACATTTGACTAACAATGGTTTTCCAGATGTTTTGGAAATAATTCTTGACTCCTGTCAGTCTACAGGACATGTTTTCCACCTGCCTGGATAGTGCTTGGTACATAAAAAGACATATTATCTAATATCTTTTGAATTAAGTGTTTTAAATCAAAAACACATCAACTAAGCTTTAGAAATCTTCCTAGTATTTCAATGATTTACTAATATTAATAGGAAAAGGAAGTTATTGGTGAGTCTGAAGGAAATTATTAAATTAGAATTTACACTAAAAGCCAGACTTTCACATCATTATCATAATAATTTAAGGAGTACAAATAAAAGAGTACCTATAACAAGATATATGTCCACTTTGCCTGCCAGATGCCAAAATTTTCACTATGTATGCATTTGTGTATTAAATTTATGCATTTCACAAGTATACATTGAGTGCTAGCCAAGCCCTGGGGGCACAGTGATAGGTGCTGAGAAACCAAATATTAATAGACATTGTCCCTGCCCTTAAGGAAAATTTCTTCCTAGTTAATTAGCAGGTAAGCAAATAGAAAAATCATAATTCAGTGTCATTAGTGCTATA